CCATTTCAGGTAAAGTCATTGAAAGGCCAAAAGTTTACAGTGCTGTCAACAAAGTAAAGGGTGGATACTTTGAGGAATTTCAATACAAGATACAAAAAAATATTCTGTTGAGTTATTTCACTTTTGTCACTTTTTGCCACATAATTCCATATATCTTCTATCCTCTATCTATCTTACATCATATATTTCACCTCTTCTTTATGTATCCAAAATGTTTAAAGTAGTAAAGATAAAAGAAAAAACAACATTGAATGAGAGGGTGTGTCCAAACTTTTCACTTCTGGTGTATATTTACTATGTGATTCACCTGGGGCATAAACACAAATATCCCCCCTTAGTTCTTTTATCTGTTCCTCCTAACCCGGTCTCATCTAATCCTGCAATCTGCACCATAAAGTCATCTCCTTGCAAAAACATGGCTGTAATATTTGTTGTAAACATGCCCAGCCTGAGTGCGTGCATGAAGGACAGCATGCGCAACAACAGCAGGGTCCAAAGGAAGAATCCACTGACCGCCAGGCCGAAAGTCTGGGCGGACTTTGGATCGTAGAGTTGAAATCAGGATTCAGATTCAGTGGGAGAAATAGGCATGTTAAAGTACTTAGGTAGTAGTTGTGTTCGGTAGTACAAGATATTAGAAGTAAAAAATGTGGGTGGCTTTGGCAGAACAAGATGTTGCTACTGTCAGCTTTATAAAGTTTACAAGTTTACAAGTATAGTGGTCACAGTTAACCACAACTACAACAATGACTCAAGCTCCCAAGTTGTTTTACTACTTCTATGACTACTACATGACGACAAGTGTCTTACTACAAACTAATCAGTGGTGGAAGGTAACAAAGTATACTTAAGTACAATTTTTAGGTATCTGTAGTTTACTAAAGTACATTTCACAGTGGATACTATTTACTTTTACTTCACGACATTTGAGAGCAGGTATATGTAATTTCTACTCCACTACTTTTTAGATCTGGACTAAAAACTACTTTTGTTTATAGTTTTGAATGTTCTGAAATGGTTAAGACTTATTTTTAGCACATTTAATTAGAGTTTACATTGCAATTTTGAGCAAACCAAATACACAAAAACACAAAGAAATTATAGAAACGTTAAGAAATCAATTGGATCGTTACATTTCATGCTGTAATTTTTCAAAAAAATCTCTGCAGAAATACATTTACTTTTTACTCTTAGTACATTTTTCAGATATTTCATTAGTTTTTTAGTACATTTTTTAATGTGATATTTGACTGACTAACTATTTCTACATTTTTCCATAAATGGACAAGATATTTTGCGTGTAATAGATCTTCTATTGTTTAACAAAATGCCAACTCTGTGATTTAGTAATTGCTCAATTTAATCTGTGGTTTCAGTTTGATTGTAGCGACCTTAGTTATCTGGACTAGAACTACTTCCTACAACTACTACTTTAATTATTATTATTACTTCCAAAACCACAAACACAGGCTTTTTGCCACGACCACCACAAGTCCTGCTATTTCCTACTGTTACTGTTGTTAAAATTTAAGTACAGAGTTGCTGGTTCTGAGTCAACAGCACATCAACCCAGTGCTTAATTGGTAAATCAGCAGTTATTTGGGCTCTTCTGGACTGGTTTTATAGATTGGGTAACAGGTCAACACATCTGCCAGGTTACACACATTACACACTATTAAAATGTGCCAAATCCTACAAAAATATTCCCCAAAATATTTATTTCTGTAAACCTCAAAAAGATCAAACGTACTAAAGCATAAAAAACAATATAAGGGATGCACCGATGTGTTACTGGTGTAAGATAATGAATAATTTGCTGGATCGGATATTGGCTTCCAAATATTGGTTCAGGCAATATCCATGTTTGCCATATAAATTGATGCAATAAGACAACTACTACTACTACTTTACTGGTTATAATTGGCCTCAAAAAATTTATGTTTGAACTTGCATTTATACCAAGTTGTTCAGTAGTTACTCAAGAGATAAAGAACAGCTACATAACCAGTTTTGTCTTATTTTATTTTTGTTTAAAGGAAATAAATGCTGTTTTCAGTCTATCAACAAATAGTTAAAGCCATAGTATCGAAATCAGTACTGTGTCTAAAAAAGCTGTACCTCTAAACACTCATCAACATCACACCTACACAGAAAATTAAACAACTGTGAAATGCAAACCAGTTTAAAGAGAAAACTTTGAACTTGGCTTTGCGAGTAAGAGTGTCTGTATGTAGTGGCCGCAGACAGAGAGCAAACAAGCAGAATAACAAGCAGGGGGCAAAGTCTGCTTAAAACCCAACTTCAAACACTGCTCTATCTAATCTACAACTTTACCAGGGTACAACAACATCCAGATACTGGGAGCCGCAGTTATAGCAAGATTAGATCTCACCTAAATAGACTTTGTAATTGACTGTAGAAGAAGGGAGATTTCCTACTTTTACTACCACTATGTTTCTTTATTGCATCTAAATGACAATGTATTGCGCTGTAAAACTGTTGTGTGAAGTATTGTTTAAAAATAGTACAGAATAAGAGATTGAAGCCAAGAGTTATCCCTGGAAAGCAAAGTTGATACTGTTTACGCCTTATCATGTGCCATTGCGGTAGACATGTTCGTATCATTTGCGAGTGGCTAAATCAGGACACAAAAGACCACATGGGTTTCCTGGAGAGATTAGTTAATGGTAGCAAGACGGTAACAAATAAAGAAGGTTGAGGTAGTACTGGTACCAAAAGAAATCGGTACAAAAATGTTGTTTCCTCATCACAAACGTACCTGGAGTTGTGTTTTGTTTCATTCAAACATGTTTAACACACAAACCATGCATAGTTAGACTGAGTTCCACCTGGTGATGTCATGTGGTAGTACAGGAAGTGCTCCACTGTGCTTTTAAACGCCATACACCTTCACTAGAATCATTTGGATGACTTCAGCCCTTGAATTGACGATTTCTACTGAACTAAAGGAAAAATTTGCTGTTAACTTGTAAACTACTCAATACCACTCAAATTCATTTCTCTCCAGCGACTAGGTGAGGAATCGAAATACACTAGACGGTTCACAAAAACCTCCGAAGTGCGAGTTCGGGCACCAGCAAATCAGCGAAGAGCCATACATTCTGTGTTGGCAACGATTCCTGAGATCGAGGATTTAAAGCCGGAACAAAGACGTTATTGTCCTTCTTCCTACAGGATTTGGGAAAAGCTTAATATACAAGTTAGCCCCGTAAGTGGCACATTACATACGTCGCGACCAAACAGCTGCGATTGGTTAAATGCAAAAAGTACCCGCCGGCTGATGAATCAGGCTAATAAACTATTGCTTCATGACATCACAAGGTGGAACAGAGCATTTTGAGCTTTGGAAATGAAGACAGACTAATAAAGGATTACTCAAACATGTGTGCAACTCCAGACATGTTTTTGAGGAGGTAATAGTTTTCTAACATGGCTAAAATCTCAAAATAGAACCTTTAATATACATAATTCTTCAAAGAAATGTAATACAAGACCATAAGAAAACTATTTCAGAAAATTCTTATTCTGTTAAATAGTTGTAGATAAGTAAAAATGCAGGTGCTGGAAACTAGTTACACATTACACTGATCATTTCTCACTTGCGTTACTGGACATGAAATAGAAGGTAAAATGATTCTTTTGTTGGACAGAGGACAGTTTTAACTCCACTGACCGGAGGGTAGGGTGGCGTTCACTTTGCGAACCGCACTAACAATAATGAAAAAAAGGTTGACTCCATTAAACTCAATTCAAACAAGTCTTGCAATGCAATACAATATTAAAATACCATTAGTCGATGTAATTTCCTGAGACATTTGAGTTTATAAACACACTTCTATTTTGATGATGCCAATTGGGAACAGGTGATAAGTCATGCGGTTTCAAACATGTATATTTAGTTGTTGGTATTTATGTTGTTGACGGACTATTTTTAACCTTAAGCCTGGGAACACTCCTCTACTTAAATTACAGCCGGGTGTATTATTACAAACTAACATTACCATACAATACATCAATGGCCTACATTTTAGATTCCGTCATCTGTGTTTGCATGCTCTTAATATTGATACTCTGGGGGGGTTCTACATGTATCTATATGACAGAATATTCATCAGTTATCATGGTGACACAATTCAGACATTAGCAAATACCTATAGTATTCAAGATAGTTTGAAAAGTTTGAAAGAATTAGGGTGACCAGATGTCCCTATTTCCCCGGGACAGTTCCAGTTTTGAGCCCTGTGTCCTCTGTCCCAGCAGATTTATCCAAAACCAGTGATTTGTCCCAGTTTTATGCAAGAAATGTCCCAAGTGTGCCTATTTTTAACCAGTTTGATCCCTGCCAACAGTAAAGACCGACATACATTGTCATTTGTTGAGGTAAAATACACAAAAGCTGCTTAAAAATGACAAAACACAAAGAAAATGTGACTATACTGACTCATGTTAGTCGTGAATGGGCCAAGTGCGGACCAATTTTCCTTAATTACGCACTCGATTTGCAATTTTATTATCACCAACCAACTCAAACTGAGGGTGTTCCAGTTTTTTATTTTGAAAAACTGGTCACCCTTGAAAAAATACAACATTAGTTAAACAACACGTTTTCAGGAACCTGTGATCAATACAAGGGTCCATGGTTCTGTGTAGGTGAGTGACTAAGTGGAAAACTGTTGGCTAATACTAGCGAGCTTGCGACTGTAATTTTAGGATTCAGAGACTTGCTTAAGAGCACAAATCAGCTCATCTGTTGTCGTGCCAACCAACGCAGCCCTTTCTGGTCAGGCTATGTTAAAATAAAACTTAAATTGAGTCTAATTTGAGGAACAGAGCTTCTGATATATCTCTATCTTTAGCTTTACTTTCGTCACCCACTTACAAACTACCTCTGAAAGCAGAAATTATGATGCAAATGGTTCTAAATCATGACAGTTTAACCAGATCTTAAATCATTTACAAAGAAATACAAAATTGCTCACCTCCAACCACATCCAGGCCAGGTGCAGGCGAATGGCTTTTCCCCCGTGTGTCTCCTGAGATGGGCCTTAAGATGGCTGCTTTTGGTGTACATCTTATTGCATCCAGGAAAAGAACACTTGTGCATTTTTATCAGGTCCGCTACGGCGCTTTTCGGGTACCTCTGAGCTCCGCCAAGAACCCCAGCAGCCACACCTCCCCCTAGCCCTCCTTCGCCAAGCCCAATTGGTTTAGCTGCAATGGGTACGGGTGCGATCCTCACAAATTTGGAAGGACTGTTGCTTCCAGTTTTGCTTGCATTGGCCAAGCTCGTGGTTGGAAGTAGCTGAGGCACCAAGGCAAATGTCTGACCCTGGATGTTGACGAGAAGTTGGGCGATTTTGATGTCTGATGCGGCATTCGTGGTTTGAGTTTTTTGCTGTTGCTGGTTGCTAGAATCAGAAATTGCACTTGTGGTGGGTTCCTGTTTGATCTGAATGGGCTGGATCTGCAGGATAACAGGCACACCAGATTGGGCGTTGGTGCCCTCTTTTAGTGAAGGGTGGTCCTCCTGCTTGATGCCATTGGTGTCAATTGGTAAATGTATGTTGTCCTTGTCCAGAAGTGCTGGTGTGGGTTTGGTCTCTGTGAAGGAAGACGAAGGGTTTGTAGCAGCAAAAGCCACAGGTACAGTCTGATCTGCTGTCTGTTGTTCTAATGTGGTCTCTGCAGAACCTGTTATAATGTCCATGTCTGCATCCTGGGACATGGGGGACATCTCTTCATCACTAGCCTCCTCATCTCTGCCCATGGCCACCACCATGTTCTCCTCAAGGAACTCCTCGATTTCCTCCAAGGTGGGCTGGAAGAGGAGCGCCGCCGGGTCTTGCAGTTCATCCAGGAAGACAGGGAACTCATAACAGTCCTCTTTGGCTTGGTGCTGGAGGCTGACCCTCTGCTCCTTTTTAAAATCCCAGGACAGACCCATGGGTAACTGTGGTGCAGTGGGTGATGAGGACAGTGAAGAAGGAGGGGATGAGACGTCTGAAGAGAGGGAGGTGGTGCTGCCGTGATGATAAGGGGCTGAGCTGTTGAGGCTGGACTGGGACAGGAGCAGGTCCAGGAGGCTGTCCTGGCTCTCGCCTGAGGAGCTCCCACTGCTGCAGTTGCTCCTGCTCTCATAGCTGGACCCAAACGTGTGGTGCGAGGACGGAGACAGGGACTCTGGGCTGGAGCACAGAGATGAGCGGGGACTAGACGAGTCACTCAGGTCATCTTCAGACAGTGTCATACCCGAGGAGAGGGACAGGGTCACCCCCGGGTAAGGTTGTTGACTGTGGCTGATACAGGCGTCCGTTACCATAGCACCCTGGGATAAAGCACCGCCGGTGTGAAAGCAGGGGTAGTCCGCTCCCGGGGAGTGAGTGTAGTACAGGAAGGTCTCCTCACCAAGGGGCAGGTGATCCACCATTCCTGTGTGGGCTCTGCTCAGCTATAGAACTGTTCAAGATGAAAAGCCTCAGTATGGATGAAAACAACTCTTCCTCCTGAAATGACAAAGAGCAAATAACAAGTAAATTAAAAAAAAGTTTTTAGTTTGTTTTGTTTTTTTTACAAACCCAACCAAACCCAGTGTTCTGTAAAAAGTGTCATTGCAACAACAGCTTTAAACCTGAACCTGCTACTCGGGGAGTCGTTTTTGGAGTAGTGGCAGTTACATAATAATGTATAAGGTGACACAAGATGATGCTTTTGGTGTGTGTCAATTTTGCACTAAAGCTTCCGGCTATTTTTGCTGCAGTAACAACACTTTCTAACTGTGCCTAGATTAGATTAGAGTGTTAAGGAGTATTATAGACTTTAACATATACTAGTACTAGCACTGTCATTTTGATTTGTCCCTGAAATGTAATTATTATGCCCTCACATATACTATCCATGCATTTTAGCTTTATGAAAAATTAGGATGGTTGTTTAAACATTTAACAGTTTAAACCAAAATCTTTTAAATGAGAAAAAACCATCAAAACAGGAATTTGATACCCATGAATAGTCCTATTCACAAAGTATGTAGTATGTTTCATGTACCAACTTGTACCCATTCACACTCATTAAAGGACCATGCTATAGTCAGTCCCACAAAACACAACTGAAAACGCAGGTGAATGTTTAATGACATATTTTACTATGGAGCATCAGAATGTTGTCAACTTTGCCACAGTTTGTGATTGTACATTTTAATTGGTTAACATGCCAAGTTAATCCAGTGTATGTTTTAGACCAGAGGAACGTAGCCCTACAGACTTCTACATAAACTACCTGCAGCTTAAGCTGACTGTAAACCAGTGAAGTGGTCCAAAGCCATGCTAATTGGCGGTTTTGTGTCCTGTGTACCTCCAGCTTTCTTTAGCTCTGCACTGAGGACACTCCAGAAAAGAAAGTCAACCACGTGTGAACCAAGTGGAATGTGAAGACTGTGCGCGTGCGTGTGAGCGCGCGCCTGCTGCAGCTGCTGCAGCACGCTTAAAGCTGACCATGTGGAATCAGGAGTTCCCAATTCTCACTTATCTTCTAACTTCAAAGCAGTCGTTTTAACGGCCTGTTTGTAGGTTATATCCGTGATACGCTCATTAGCAACAGTTCAATTGACTTTTCATGGTAAAAGGCACATGATAGCATCCAAGAATGACTAAAGATTTGTATTCATTATCTTTTATACAGCCACGTACAGGTACAGACACTGTGCATTTAGCAGGAAAACTGATATTAATAATGCCATGAGCACTGAAGTGAGTTTTAGATCCTAACGAAGTTAGACGTACGCATAAAGCCAATTGTGAAGATAGAGTGAGGATTAATGGTGGTGCGCCCTCTTCTGTAAATCTCGCACACAGCAACTTCAAATATTTCAGATCCCAGAATTCAAATCCACAGCAACATTTTTTTTTTCTTAAAAGGCCGAGCTATGCACACTTATAATGCTGCCACCGCGTTATATAACCGTGTCATCTAAACCAGAGCATCTGATGCTTTTCAATGGATATAAATCACATGACACGCAATAGCCGTGGAAAAAGTTTGGGGCAGTTTGTGCAGGTCGGCGAACCAGTCTGACCTGGTCCAGGCTAAAGCAGTTTGTCCAATAGTAACCCTGACACATCAGAGCGCTCTGACAGCGTGACGCGCGCTGCTCTGCACAAAACAAGCCACTTATGGATCTTTACAAGAAAGGCGTGTGAAGAGCGCACACCCAAATACTTTTACCATCACAATACCGTAAAGCACATGGGTTCAATCGAAAATTTGGATTTGCAACAACAATGTTTCAGCACAGCATATGTTTGAATAAAACTCCATGCAAGTCAATGGCTTTACACTCGATCTCCAAATCCACAGCAGACACAACTACAAAACGTGAAAAGACAGAAGAAGAGACAACATTTTCAAAGCAACATGGGACGCACATTTTGCACTCGTTTAATCCTCGATTATCAGTTCTTCTGTCTCCTCTCATCAAATCGATTTGTCAGGACATCACTGAAATACAAAAATGTTTCAGTAAAGCTTCGTGCACTCACCTATTGCATGAAGAATCCGCCCCGTCACACCGAGGGCTCTCCGGAACAAAGTACCTGTCGGTGCGTAATTGTGCGTAATGAGAGTATAGCTCCACGGGACGGTCTTTGGGTGGCTGTACGGCTCTCTCAAACTCCGTATCTGCCTCTCTCTTTTTCTCTCCCTCTCTCTCTCTCACTGACGTTCACGACCACGTGCGCGCGCACCCAGCATGTGTCTTTGGAGCGCTGCGAGTTAGTTTATCCCGTCACATGATCATAGCGGAGTTTGTATAGAGTAAAATCGAGGAGGTTGGCTCATGAAGGCTCGACTGCAGAACGCGCAAGGACTGGTTTAGAGAGGCAGAGGCGGAACTCGAGGGTTGGACTTGGGAGTGGAATTATGTCAATATGCCCATTGAGAGACTTGGAGGAATAATTTTTAGGCCTTAAAAATTACAGAACAATGTAGCGTAGTTCAAATAATTGCCTTGTGAATCAATAAAGTTGGTCTAAGTCTAGTGGATAGAAAGTGATGAGATACTGTAAAGAAATAGAATGCAAATTGTCCAGGATTCAAGAAATATAATTTTATATAAAAATACAGTTCTGTCATTGTCAAGTTTATTAAACCGGGATCCACTAAAATGATTTGAGCTTCAAAGAACACTTTCTCTGGGGGCGTAGTGGTTTCTGTCAAACACACAGCTGCTGTAAACAAAGCCATAAATCACAGGTTGTGAATCATCTTTCAGCACAACACCAGAGGAAAAAATCATCTGTAGTTTTTTTGTGTGCTGTGTGCAACATGTAAAAATTAAAACTGACAAGAAAGACAGTATTAAAAAATGGCTTTCAAATTAGACTTTCAAACCAGGAAAAGAAGGTAGAAGGTAAATAAAATATAACAGTCTTTTGGGTGTGTGTGATTTTATTTTATTTTATTATTTTAAATGTTTGCTTGCTTGTTTTTTAGGGGTGTTTGTATTTTTAAGTGTTTCTGAACAATGAAAACATCTGTAATCAAATAAATGCAAGATAGATAACTCACTCATTACATAATCCAATCAGTTATTAATTCTTAATGTCTCATTTGCATGATACAGTTCCATTTGCATGCCCCGTGTGTCTGGTTCATTCCACCCTTATTTAAATTCCCCATTAGCTCCGAGTGGTTTTGGGCTGTGAGCACCAGCCCTGTTACAGCTGATGTCCTGGGGATAAGTGCTCGTCTGATGGAGTTTCTGAGCCCGCCATTGAGGACCTAACGGACTGTGTTTACACGGGGCCTAATAGCATCAGTAATAGAACTTTCTGCCTTTCACTTTAAACCAGCGGGCTACTTAAAAACACCTCCAAAACTCACTTTGCTGGCTCCGACTTAATTTGATTTGCTTGCGTAGGTCAGATTAGGTTTCAGCATGTTTGGATAAATGATTCAATCTGTAGGTGCTTGTAGTGTAGTGGGTAGAGTTTAGAAGCTGAATGTTACACTGAGGAGGTCTGTTTAGCACTGGGAAAAAGAACAGAATATGTGCTAGAGTGGACCTTTACAGTGTGACGTCACTCAAACTTGCATAGACTGAGAGAAACGGGGATTATCCTTATATCTGGGAAGATCAGGCACAGCTGAGTCATTTGGATATCTCATTGGTCTGTATGAATTTGACCCAAGCTGTTGTATAGAGGATTTTCCAAGGAACGAGAAATCCAGCGACTGTTTGTCCTTTTTCAAATGTTGCGCATGCGTGAAACCACCCCCCCTCCCCTACAGCTCCCTACGTAGAAACGCCTCCTCCCTCCTCCTCCTTACGCCAGAAACAGGTTTGTTTACAGCCGGTGCGCTGCACATGACTTGTAAACAACTAACTACAGTGTTGGTTAGGCAAGACGGAGAAGTGAGGAGCGAGGGGAGCGGGTGCGCGGACGAGAAGTGAGGAGCAGGGAGAAGAGCGGAGCAGGGAGCAGGGAGAGGAGAGAGGAGAGAGGAGAGGGGAGCGGTGCGCGGAGATTCCGTGCCCGGAGAAGTGAGGAGCAGGGGGAAGAGCGGAACGGGCAGCGGGGACAGGAGCAGGAAAGGGGTGCAGAGAAGAGTGCGCGGAGATTCAGTGCGAATGAACTAGCTACAACACGCAGCAGCAAGCGGACTCTTTCTTTGCCTTGAAAATTACGTTTTCAGACATAGGATATCGCTTTCGTGTCCTGAAAAACGTTTGTCTCGCTCTTGGAAATAAAGTACGTTTTCATAATAAGCAGAAGTGACCTGTCCAGGAGTAATTTGGCGACCAGTGCGTCAGTCTTTAGACCCTTCGTCTGCTTCAGTCGCGCCATCGCTGGAATGAATCTCCAAGAATCACCTTAGTTTTTTTTCGCTGCTTTTCCCCTTTGTCTTCTTCTTTCAGCGACCTCAAAAACGGACTTTCTTTTGCGGCTAACTGCTCCTGGATTCTTGTCGCCATTGCAACAAACTTTGTGCTAACTGCGAGGAAGATATAGGTAAAAAAAAGCCGCTAAGAACTGTTGCGTTGGTGGAGTAAACAGCGTCTGTGCGTCTTGCGTCTGTGCGTCTGTGGACTGCGTGACAGGCGTATGTAAACCACGTAACGGCAGCGCGCAGGCAAGTCAGTTACGCTAGAAACGTAGGGAGTTTGATTGACAGCCTGTCAGCTAACAGATAACGAGGCAGTGTCGTTATCTATTGGCAAATGTTTAGCCCCACCACGTCCAGAGTTGATGAATTTTTATTCTCTTTTTTTTGGTCATCATAATTACAAGGCTACTGCACCTTTATAATGCTATCATTGACAATTTGAAACAAAAAAAAATCCTCCATACAACCTTTAATACATAAAGAAGGGTATAATAAAAGTGCATTAATGTGTTTAAAAATGACAGAACTAACAGCAACAGTGTACACATAAAAGCAAGTGTAATAGAGGCAAAATTCTGTGGAAATGTTATTGCTTTGCCCACAATGTTCCACAGAACAACATTAAACAAGCAAGCAACTGACATCACCAGACCAAGTTACAGGTTAATAGGTCAGATCTGTGGAGAGACGATCCTGCACGAAGAATCATGAATGGTTTCTTTGTTTCTTTCTTTGCAATAAACAGAGGTAGGTCAAGTAGTATAAAGTAGTAGAAGTAGAAGTACAAATTAGTGGTCCAAGTGGATCAGAATCTGGGAAAGCCACAAAGTAAGACTAACAAGCTAACTAACTAATAATGCCTTACACTTGTTATGCACTGTACTCTCACAACATTTATACCTTACTGACTGGTAAGCTATTTTCGTAGCCGCAGCTGCCCTGGGACAGACTGACAGAAGTGAGGAGGCTGCCAATCTGCACCATCGGCCCCTCTGTCTCTCTCTGTAACTGTAAATATCTCATTTATAATTTGAAGTGAATGAAATTTCAAGAACAAAACATTAAATAATTTACAAAAATGTGGTATTTTTAAAGCATAGACACAAACATGAGAAAAACTAAATCATTTCTGAAGCCGTGCAAAAGACACAAATTAATTTAATATTGTCAACATAAAGATTTGTCCCCTGTAGACTTGTGGACCTGTAGGAAAAGGAACCAACACTTTTACTCAAGTAAGTATACTGTTACTTCAATAAAAATATTTTATAATATACTCACATTGGAGTAAAAGTATGTCGCTAGAAAAGTATTCTGAAAAACAAAAACAAAAAAACAATTCCTTTTAAAAGTTACTCAAGTAAATGTTAGTGAGTACTACGCACCTCTATAATTGAATAAGTACTGGTATATAGTTACAACTAATACCAAACTGTGCTACATATCAGTCCAAGCAGCACATCTCCATGGAGACAAGCAGGTGTTGTACCATTCGCCAGAAAAGTTCCACAGTAGACCTTTAAATACCTGTTAAAGTCATCGTAATAGCACATCATTACCTCTGCTTCATTTTCCAAACTGCATGTAAACAGCCACTACTTGAGTAACTTAAAGTAGCCTGTGAGGTGTGGACAGCCCATTTCAGATTCATTAAAGGAAACATACTTTGACTTCATGTCCCTTTCTGGTAGAGAGAGGTGGTGTTCTTGGCCCCGCACTGGACCGTGGCCCTGTCTGAAGCCGCTCTGTTAATGTTGAACCAGCCTCAGTCAGTGTGTCCACGGAAGCAGGGTCAGGGCAGTTTACAGCCACTTTCAACACTTCTCTGTGCTCCCAAGCCCTTACATGTGAGGCGAGAGGGCCCTTCGTTTGTCCGCACGCATGTTTCAGACCTGACTCAAAAACATATATGCATGTACACAGGTCAAATGTTTAAGTATGGATTTTTGCATGAAGAGGGTGGGTGGTTGATTTATGGTATAATGTTGTTTTCTCATGACAAACATACTTGGAGTTGTGTTTGGTTTCATTCATGCATGTTTAACTCACAAGCCAGGCATAACTATGCAGGCTGGCTCCACCTAGTGCCTCCGCTCAATTTCATTTCTCTCCAGCGACTAGGTCAGGAATCGGAATACATTAGACGGTTTGCAAGAACCCTGGGAGTTGTAGACCGCACACCAGCCAGTCAGCGAAGAGCTGTGAAGTCATAACATCAAACTCAAGCGCTTGTCTGGGTCCCTTTTGTGGTACAGAACAACAGTAAACAAAGCGGTCGAGAGTGATGTAGACAAAACCATACATTCTGTGTTGGCAATGATTCTTGAGATCGAGGATTTAAAGTCGGAACAAATAGAATGTTTGGTGAATTTTATCAAGGGATTTGGCACATTACATACATCATGACCAAATAGAAGCGATTGGTTAAATAAAAAAAGTACCTGCCTACGGTTGACCGAACAAATCCTAATGCTGCGAGGTCAGACGATTTCCATGAAGTGAAATTGACTGATGAATCAGGATAGGGCATAACACTCTCTTCCACCTTGTGATGTCATGTGGTAATGCAGGGAGTGGTCCACTGTGTTTTTAAACTCCATACACCTTCACTACAATCATTTGCATGATTTCAGGCCTGAAATTCCTAATTGCCAACAAAGGGTAAAAGGTTAACTTGAAAACCACTGCTTCATAACATCACAAGAGAAACAGAGCATTTTGAGTTTTGGAGATGTAGACAGACTAATAATGCAGGGTTACTCATGTATGAATGAAACAAAACAACTCCAGGTCTGTTTTTGAGGAGGTACCAGCATTATAACATTATCACAAGAGCCAATTTCACATAATTCAGGATTCCTATATCAAGCTAGAGATAT